TTTTTTAATACAATTGACCCCTGTGACCTTGAATATAATTGAAGGTCATTCATTTGAACAAACTTGGTAGCCCTTCACCCAAGCATGCTACTGGCCAAATATCATCTCCCTGGGCATTTTGGTTATTGAGAAGAAGATGTTTAAAGTTTTTGACATATTTGACCCCTGTGACCTTGAAAATAGGTGAAGGTCATTTATTTGAACAAACTTTGTAGCCCTTCATCCAAGTTTGCTTCTGGCCAAATATTGACACCCTAGGCCTTTCGGTTATTAAGAAGAAGTCGTTTAAAGTAAAATATTGACGCCGGACGCCGGCCGGCCGGCCGACGGACCGACGGACGGACAACGGACGGACGGACGACGGACGCCGCGCCACGGCATAAGCTCACTTGGCACTTCGTGCCAGGTGAGCTAATAAATAACATTTTGTTAATGTGTCTTGACTTAATGTGTATCCATAATATGTAACATTAGTAATAGTTTGCACCAGTTTTTCAAGGACATTGTCATTCAGAAACCCCCACTGAAAGAATTGTGAAAGACAATTCTAGGATGGATGATAAAGGGTGTGTGACCGAATGGCACTACCAGGCAAGTAACCGACTGTAGGTAACCTTGAAAAATGTTCAAAAGCGTATAGTCACCGTATGTTTAATGATGGCTTACGGGGTGATTTGACTGTAGTCAACCACTGTTGGCCACTAAACAACAAGAGATGAAGTTTGATCCTAAAATAAGTCACATTTACCATATACTTGTGTGTGGATTGTAAAGATGACTTTGAGTCAGTTGTACAGCCATTGAATAAATGGTGTAAGCAGTTTATGCATTATATTAATCAAGGTAGACAACAGCCTATTGACGGTGGTGATCCAACACTCATAAAAAAACTTTAACCTAAACCTTGCCCAAAAAGTTTAACCTAAAGCTAGTCCAAAAACTATAACCTAAACCTTGCCCAAAAACTTTGACCTAAACCTTGCCCAAAAACATTAACCTGAAGCTTGCCCAAAAACTTTTACCTAAACCTTGCCCAAAAATTTTAACCTAAACCTTATCCAAAAACTTTAACCTAAACCCTGTCCAAAAACTTTAACATAAAGCTTGCCCAAGAACTTTAACCAAGTCCAATTAAGCTGTTTTTGGCCCCTAAAATATGAAAGTATGGAATATCTTACCCTCCCAGCATCTGGAGCTGAACTTTTGGAAGTACAATCAAAGGAAGACAATTTTGGGTTACATTGAGACTATACCACAATGGGGATGGGTGATTATTTGGGATATCTTCAAAACTAGAAAATATTGAGAGGCCTCACTTTATTAGTGTATTTTGCCCCAAAATTGGAGAAGTGGTTGATTATTGGAAGCATGGCTATTATCAGAACCAATACAGTATAATGACCTTGTTGTGCATGGTGGGTATGTATATATACTTTATTTATGAGTTGAGACAAACTTGAACATCCCAGCTTCCCAGTACATTAAACTTGTCTCCCACTGAGGTATACACATGTCATATACCTCTCAAGGGTATATTACTTGATCCATTCATTATAACATACGTAAGGGTCAAGGTAGCCCTGCTCCCCAGTGTCAAGGTCCATGTAGGTGAGGCGAACGTGCTGTGTCTTCCACGAGTGAACCATCATGTCCCAGGAGTACCCATACAGACCATCTGTCCACGTGTTGTAACCCTGGAAACGCGAGTGGAGGTTAAACTTGAATTATAACGTGTAAATATAGAATAATGATACAGCACATTAGGAGAAAGGTTTTATCAACATGATGTACGACAATCTTATAGGTACATCCTTGTTGTTGGGTATAAATACTAGTGTTTACTTAACACCTTATGTAAGGTCCTACTATCATTGAGGAGATCAGCACACAGCAGGGTGTTAGCTAGACAAATGAATTGGGACCGCTGTCATGCATTAAAAGTACCCCCTTACCAAAATGTATCTGAACACTTTTTATACCTGCATAATATGATAATATGTAACCCCCCCTGCCTAAAAAGTACACCCCTATAACATAACTGTAAATATTTCTACATGACTCCCCAAACCTTATTGTTTCCAGTGATAACAAACTATTCAGACATAATTTCCTGGCCCCTTTGGTTGGGTAGGGTGAATAAATATTCCCCTGTAACATCCTGATCAAGTTCTGAACTCTTGGATTAATAAATATTGAAACATTTTTTTTTCATATGGTGTTCTTTTTATACAGGGGGTGGAGGTGGGGTGTACTTTTTGGTAGGGGTATATAAAGTATCGGGACACTTTTTGACACTTTTTATTCTGCATAAAAACTTTTTAAGCAGGAGGTACATTTTATGCATGACACCTGTCCTGTCATTCTCAGCCACTGTAACAGACAAGCCTTGTGACTGGTAAGTTTCCATATGGTAAACTGTGTCCAACAGAATATGTGAGGGTTAAACACATGACTGGTCATTCTCAGCCACAGTATTAAACCAGTAAATTGTCATGTGACTGGTCTGTTTGTCATATTAGGTAATTGTAAATCGATATGCCCAACAGAATGTGTCAACCATTTTCAGCAACAGTATCACAATATATAGAGGCATTCAAATGTTCAGTGTATATGAGAACTAAGGGAGAAAGTGATTACCTTGGTGATGCAGTGGGAATACGGAAGAAACACTTGAGTACTGAGGTAAAATAGAGTCACGCAGGAGAAAAGTTTATGGTGGAATGTTGCTGCAGTGGGGGGTACCACTTGTGGAGACGAGGAGACACTCTGTAAATAGACATATATATACATACAATGTCCTGTCTAATGCTGTGTATGGAACACTTCACACCACAAAAATCACATTCACATATTGATCACCATGTTAACAAGTAGTTAGATAATTATTAATTTTCAAAAACAAATCTGAAGTCTGTGAGTGAGCTTATATGCTTTGTGCTGCTATTGTTGTTCCTGAAGCAAGCAGCAACCTTCTGACAAGAATATTGTGTACATAGATTAACCAGAAAGCTATATACATGGTAGTGCATACAGTTTAGTCGACATTTCCTCATGTTTCTAAATGTTCACAAAAGACTGCAGACAAAAAACAGCTGTTTCTTTTCTATTAGTCCAGTAATACATGAGGCCCTGAGCGCCTGAATCGCTCACCTGAATATCTAAGCAGTCATAGCAAAATATCCTCATTAAATATTATCCTGTACTACAAATATTTCACTCGCTTTTGTTTAAATTACCAGTCAAATATTATTATATGATTCTATGCTTTTTGGTTCTTCTTAAGAAGTTGTTTGACATATCTGACCCCTGTGACCTTATAAGGAGATCTAGGTTATTTTTAATTTTCAAACTTTGTCAGGCGCCATCCCAGGAAGCCACCAGCTAAATATTATAAAACTATGCTCTAAGATTATTCAGAGGTCGTTTAATATTTTGACATATTTGACCCCTGTGACCTTGTAAGTAGGTCAAGGTCATTTTCATTCTCAAACTTTGTCGGGCTAAGCCACCAGCCAAATATGAAGATTCTATACATCTCAGTTCTTCTTCAGAAGTTGTTTGAAGCATTTCACATATTTTACCGCTGCGACCTTGAAAGAAGGTCAAGGTCATTTTTATTCTAAAACTTTGCATTGATCTGGATAAGTCCATTATGGTCTACAGTGGTGAAAGGGTTAAAAGAAAAGATGATGGACAACGGACGACGGGCGCCGCACCATGACATAAGCTCACTTACCCTTCGGGCAGGTGAGCTAAAAAGGTGAAAAAATCACTTTATAGGTCACAAATTTTTGATCAACTTGAAAATTTGGCCATGACATCTCCAAACTATTACCTACATGTAACCTGGCAAAATATCATGTACATACCTATTACCATTTAGAAGGAAAGAAGAAGAAGAAGAAGAAGAAGAAGAAGAAGAAGAAGAAGAAGAAGAAGAAGAAGAAGAAGAAGAAAGAAGAAGAAGAAGAAGAGGAAGAAACAGAACAAAAACAATAGGTCTTTTCACCTGTTGTTAAAAAACCCTAATTAACTTTGTCAAAGGTCACCAATGTAAACTCCTACGTATTCAAAACCAAATTTTTGCATCATAAAATCGCTATGAGACTTGAGTTGAGACGCCAGCCAATCGGTTTAGACTCGATTGGTGCTCTGTATGTATACATGTAAACAGGATCATGTTAAATAGATACATTTTACGCCATTATTTGTTCTTTTTACACATGCAAACATTTTGCTGATTTGATTTGAAACCATAAATTATTTCACTACAATTGATGACATATACCTGAGGTTTGTCTATTTGTTTGCTAGACTTCACCAGCTCCTTCACATACACACAGTGGCTGTTGGGCTGTAGTTCTTGTCGTGTCGTTGGCCCACCTGGCAAAGGAAGTAACTGTAGGACCCTCCTGGGCCAATCAGGATAGCAGAATAAAGGCAGGGTAGCCAACATCGTGTACGAAAACATACCTAAGGAAAAATGTACAGGTAAAACATTTCAGGGGTTTTTAACAAAGCAAAATCCTGATACTCAAAATCTGCTTAATAGATTAATATCTAGATTTCCAAAATTGAAACATGCTGACATATGCTTCCTTACTAGGAAGGAAACTGTATTAGACAAAAAATGAATTGATCTCAATTACAGTTGTGTGATTACACAATTTGCAATGTGTACACCATGTGTGACTGATGAAATACTTAGCAATTAATGCTTGTGCACATCTGTGTGCACAATGAACGAATTGTGCAATTGCGATCGTGGTTGATATATATCAACAGGAATGGCTTTAATGATAAATGCAAATTTGATTCAAAACTACATAATCTTGAATTTACGGTAATAATTATCGTTCATTTGCGAGATCTGTAGGTTAATCTATTTATGTATTTCAGGTTTATTTATAAAAGAAATAAATCAACACACATTGACACAGTCCCATATACCTATACACAGGTAAATATAGCTGCCTTGCACACATAATGGGGTGTTTCTAGTCACCGAGGGCACTTACATAACTTCCCGGGGTGTGAAAAAGCTGCATGTGTCTCAAACACAGAAAATATAGATCAACACAAAGGCAATTAACAAACAGGTTTGGTCCAGTTGTGTTTACATAACGGTCAAACAGTATATATATCACTGATCAGCTCTCTGTCCGACAAAGGCCAGGCAATTCTTCCAGCCACTCATCCAGTTCTGTCTATAGCTATATGTTATACTCTACAGAGACCAAAATGGCTTTAATTGTTTTTTACCTGTTCTGTTATGAAAGTCGGGCTCAATTCTTTAACTTTTTACAATTGTAATACTATACATGTATAATACCACACATGTGTAATACAATACATATGTAATACTTATGTAATACTATACATATGTAATACTATACCATTGTAATACTATACCATTGTAATACTATACCATTGTAATACTATACCATTGTAATACTATACATGTGTAATACTGTGTAATACTATAATATAAAGTGCCAGTGCGGAGGGGTGTGTAAGAACATCCGGGGATTGAGGATCCATCAAGCAAGGGTGAAGTGCAGACTTGTGGAGTTACAGACGCAGCGCTCAGAAGTAATTTCTGGTGAGACAAAGGAGTACCCGTCCAGCCAGGAGGCACCCCATAGTGTTGGGGACCTCTCTGCTTTGATTTCGTCATGGGTCAGCCATTCGGACTTGAGTGATACAAACCACGACCAGGGTGTTCAAGCACATCCAACACAGCCAGCACGTAGGTTGAGGATAGAGTGGCCAAAGATGGACAACAATGAAGCTTGGAGAAGTTTAGACGCTGACTTAGATACCATCCTAGAGGCGGATCTAATGGGAAGCTTAGAAAGGGAGGTTGAGGCAATGGGAACTATCATCTACACATTCTGCAAGGAAAGATTTGGAGTAGAAGGAACACAGAGAAATCCTAAGAACATTATCATCCCGAATAGAAGACAGGATACCATCCAACGACTCGGACGAGAACTGAAAGCAGTCACACGACAGTACAGGAGGGCAAGTGATATAGAGGGGATAGAATTACATCAGCTGCGAAACGACATCAGGGAGAATTTGGCAAGACTCAGGAAAGCAGAGCAGGTTAAGAAGGCAAGGAAGGATAGAGCAAGGAAGGGGGAGTCCTTTATCAAGGACCCTTATTCGTTTACAAAGACTCTGCTGGGAGGGGAAAGATCAGGCCGTTTGGATAGTTCAACACCAGATATTGAGCAACACCTGAGGGAAACGCATGGAGATGAAGATAGGGGCATTCCACTTGGGAACTGTCCATGGAAAGGAGCTGCCAGAGTTCCCGCTTGACACCAAGGAACCAACTTGAAAGGAGATCCAAGATGTTGTTAAGAGGGCAAGGACTGAATCAGCTCCAGGCCCAAGTGGAATTCCTTATAAAGTTTAAAGAAATGCCCATGGCTGTTGAGGAGACTGTGGCAGTTACTGAGGAAAGTGTGGAAGCAGGGGAAGATACCATCGTGTTGGCAGAAGGCAGAGGGATGTTCTGTTCCAAAGGAGAAGGACTCAAAACACATCAGCCAGTTCAGAACAATTTCCTTGTTGAGTGTACATGTTGAAGGCAAGATTTTCTTTGCAGTATTGGCAGGAAGGATGACATCGTACATGACGACCAATGGATACAGTAGGAAATCATCAACGGCAGTTTAACCATGGATTCAGTGTTTTGGAATATAAATATCCTTGAAAATCATACTATTCATCTGATTTAACTATCTACATTGTTAGAATAGTGCTAACAAACAATACTTACCTATATTGAACAGCTGGGAGTTCATAAAATGGAAGGATGACCCAAAGAATAAAGCTACTGGTCTGGTTTTGTCAAAGAACAAGAAGAAACCGATGAACATATCCAGCATCAGTCCACAGATATGAACTATGTATAGGTCGATTTGATCATCGGTCAGGAACAGTCTACAACAAGAGGCTGATCGTGTATCACCTGAATTTTTTTTTTATCTTTTAAAGAAGTTGAAATATTTTTGTTACTTAAAACAATGCCGACATTCATCATACCTTTTAAACTCATAGAATAACAAGAACCCCAGAGGGCCTGTATCGCTCACCTGGATATTTGAACTGGACTAACAATTACACTGAGCAGGAAAATAGAAGCAAGTGCTTACCTGAAGGGATCAAATACCCATTTACTTGACAGGTACTGCATGGAGTATCCCGATATCCAATCCATGTCCAGCTTTTTTAGTCCAGCAATAAAGTAAACAAGGAACACCTGTTAAACATAAAAGAAGGACTCATCATACACATTTAACACTGAAAGTTTAATAGCAATTGGTTATTTTTCAACATCTGTAATGTGTAACATAAGCTACTTGCACCAACTGTTTTGTACAGTTTTGGTTTTCTTTTGTTTTGTTATTCTATCAACAGCTAAGGTCATTTAAGGACATGCCTCCATGTGTGTAATGTAAATGTGTGCATATGTGTATTAGTGTTGGAGACAGGGTATGTTGGTGTACGTGCCTTCTTGAGATAGAAGCACGGATCTGATGGTGACTTTATAGTGCTATCTCACTGAAATACCATGCCAAAGGCACCCAGCACAGCATTTCACCTGGTCACCTGTTACTGACAATGGGTAAACCAGTTGTTAGGATAAACCTAAGTGTTGGATGTTAAGCAGGAAACAACAACTGCCATTTTTAAGGACTTTAGTATGTCCTAGCCTGGAGAGAGAACCCATTGCCAATCCCAATAGCGCAAACCTTCAACACTTAGGTCAAAAGTGAGGTATTCAGCCTAGCACTTAGGCAATAGAAAACAAACAAAAATTCAGGAAATAGAGAGGAAATCATAAGATCCAAAATGTTGCAATGGATCCCGGAGCAGCAGATCAATTGAAGTTTCTGCTATGTCCCCTAAGCAGAATACACAGAAGAAAGCCCCTGATTGTGCAGGGGGCCCCACATTAGTCGCCTTATACTAAATGTAGTGGGAATCAGCAGGCCTGTTCTTTCCTCGAACCTGCAGAATAAACCTTTATTTAAGGATGCAACACATCGCCTTCCCAAAATGTACATATATGCAAAGTTTGAGGTTAATTCATGAAACAGCAGCTGATCCGATATGTTCCAGAAACCATTACTGTAGTATTTTAGGTCAAGTTAAAAAGTCGCACTGAGGTCACAATGATCTCATTCTAGAGTGAAACACATCACCTTCTTATGGTGTACCTTTGTACAAAGTTTGATGATACTTCGTGAAACAGCGGCTTAATTATGCTCTGGAAACCCTTATTTTTAGCATGAAAGGTCAAGACCAAAGGTTAAACTGAGGGCACAGTGACCTTCTTTTAGGATGCAATACATTTCAATCCCATATGATGAACCTAAATATAAATAAAGTATCAAGTTCAGCTAAGTCTCACACAGCTGCCCTTCACCATACAGGGAGAGGGAGCTGACACAGTATGACCCTTCCTAGTCATGATACCCAACACAAATCACCCAGCGCTAACATGATTTACCTGGATGGCAGATTAACACTTCTACAATATAAGCACTTTTCATTGTTGAGACGTGAAGTGAAAATAAGCATGTATAAACGCAGAAAAAACATTCCACCTCATGTCACTGAAGGAGAAAAATAATGAACTGTTCAAATAAATTTTGCTTTTGAATGAGAAATAATTCTTGTTTTTGTCAATTAGCAATTTTTGCCTTTCAGCCTACCACTTAGATAGATGAGGATCTTACTTTCTGATATGATCTAATTACAATTTATTCGTAATAAGTTTGGATTATTTCCTGCTGAAAATTGACAAAATATACAAAAAGTGTTAGTTCCCTATAGAAACTATAGTAAACTTTACCCCCTCCAATAGGGAGAGTGGATGGCCCTGGGGTAGTACAATTTACAATTTAGATACAAGAGGCCCAGATGGCTGTATCGCTCACCTAGATAAATAAGCAACTATGGGAAAATACTGTCATCAAATATATTAATGAAACTATTTCCAAATATTGGCTCAAATTGTCTCTCAGCAACACCCGTCCCTAATTGGGTCCCATCTTTCTGCCCCCCTGAATTGAGATGGATTATAATATTCACCTCAATTATCTCTCATTGGATCCAACCCCTCTGCCCCTCAAGAGCAACCCTCCAAATCTACAAAATTGAGTCACCTATCGGATGCCTGGTATAAGGACACTTTATACAAAGTTTGGTTAAAATCCTGCTATCAAACTGAATGAGAAGGGTTTTATACATTATTACTATGTTCCCCCTATTGGGCCCCTTCCCTCTGCCCCCAGGGGGGCTACACTCTCTGTTTAAGGATGATTTAGCACAAAATTTGGTTTAATCCCTGAAATCAAACTAAAAGAAAAGGAATTTCAAGATTTACCTGAACTTCACCTATTAGAACCCCCCTCTCTGTCCAAGGTGGGCAACACCCTTTGTTTATACAAAGTTTGGTCTCCTTTGCCAAAGAATGCTCTACATCAAATTTCGTTAAAATCCTTATGATCAAGCAAAAGAAAAGGACTTTAAATATTAACCTTAATTTCCTCTAATGGGCCCCAATCCTTTTCCCCCCAAGGGGTCCAAACCCTCCATTTATACAGTTGTGAGACCGCACATCAGGTAATGTTGTGCGGTGTGCGACAGTGTGTGCATATACCATGTGAGAACATTAAAATCTGGACGAATTGTGCGCATAATGGACCAACGTTGCGCGATAACAATCGTGGTTTGCGTAAATTGAGGAATGTCTTAATAATATTCATGGTTTCGTGTTTAAACATATAAACTTATTTCTAAGTTTGTTTCTATATTCTACATTTTAGTCAAAACCCACGGAGCCAGTCAGGACTATATATAGTAGGGTTTTAAAGGAAAAGTTGATATAAATCCAATGGACGGTGTTTGGACCTAACTAATGTAGATTTTACGGTGACGTTGAGTCAAGATTGGCCCTGTGTGTCTATCAAGTTTTTTGTGCAATAACTTCCTGGTGTTTGATCTGTATTTCTATCATAATCAGTTTGCACCTACCTGACTTCTGAGGAGAGTGTAGTTCCACAGGGGGACATGGCAGTGTCTGATCTGAGGCCTCAACCATCCATCTAGAGACCTGTTCTAACAATCAACTCTCAAGATTAACAAGAAAACATAGGGGCTTGAACATGCTATCCTGATTAATGTGGCCTTTCTTTTTATACTTTGTAGCAATCCTTGCCCACAACCTATGCTTATCCTAAGATGTTTGGTTCTTCAGAGAAAGTCATTAGAGCATTTGAACAAATCAGATCCCCGTGACCTTTAATACAGGATATATAAAGTTGTTTTTTTCACAAACTTTGCAGCTCTCCATTTCAGCAAATTCCATGCCAAACATATCATGACTCTAGATCTTTCAGTTCTTTAGACAAAATAAATTGAGTGTTTAAACAGATTTGAGCAAAGCAGTGTCAGTCGCATTTCACGCACTTTCTCCCTCATTGGAAATGTGAGATGAGGGAGATCCATGTTCATCAGTAAAAAGATACAATATTTGACCTTGACATTGACCCAGTGACCTTGACCTTTGGTCAATTGACTCCTTGTTTAATTCTGAATAACATTGCTTCAAAGTGTCATAACGAAATGTTCACCAGTAAAAATATACAAAGATTAACCTTGACCTTTGACCCAGTGATCTTGACCTTTGGTCAGTTGACTCTTTGTTTAATTCTGACCAACTTTGCTTCATTATGTCATAAAATGCTTATTAGTAAAAAGATGAAAAAAATTGACCTTAACAAAAGATACAAAATTTGACCTTGACCTCTGACCCGATGACCTTTACTTTTGGTCAATTGCCTCATTGTAACCTTTTTACCTCAGTGTGTCTCTTTGTTTTATTCCCACTAACTTTGCGTTCTAATGTCATAAAATGCTCAATAGTGAAAAGCTACAAAATTTGACCTTGACCTTTGACCCAGTGACCTTGACCACTGTCCCGATGACCTTGACCTTTGGTCAGTTGACTCCTTGTTTAATTCTGATCAACTTTGCTTCATCATGTCATAACAAAATGTTCATCAGTGAAAAGATGCAAAATTTGACCTTGACCTTTGATGAACCTAATTTCCTTGACCTTTGACCTTGAATTTTAACCTCAGTGTGTATTTTTTGTGAACTGAACATCTTGACCAAGTTTCATGTAAATCGGTCAATAATTATACCAAAGTTATCAGCCAGGAAAAAATATTGTGGACAGACGGACGGACAGAAGGACAGACAGAGTGATTACTATAGGGCACCCGTATCGGCCCTAATTAGTTTTGCGGGTTTAGAGAAGTCAAAGATGAGAACTGTTTGCAGACACATGATGGAGGACAGTGGACAAAAGGTGATCGCATTAGGTCAGACTTCATCTCATGTCATCTAATAAAGTGACTTGCAGTATTTAGATTAGATGGGGACACCATACTATCTTATTACAAACGTCTTTGTACAAACCCTGTATCCACTGACCAACAGATCTATATATCTTATATAATACAATGTACAGGTGTTTAATTAATAGGTAAAATGTTCCACATATTGATACTTCATAATTATGAAGATTTGATCATGCTCTTCACTAAATTTCAAGTTAGCATTTTTTCGAGTAAAATGTTTCAATAAAAACATTGTTTCCTTCGTACCTGACTATGTCAAATTTTTACTGACCATCATGTCAAAAATCAAGGTTAAAATTCACATCAATATTCTGCCCTTGAACCAAAAATCGATTCTGAGGTAAATAAAGTAGAGGTCAAGATTGAGGTGATCATTTTTCTCGCACCTCAGACAGAGATATCCCACGTCATACCCCATGCTAGATTTTTCTATCTCGTCCCATCTGTCTTGTACCTTTACGTGACATTTCGCGTAATTTTTACACTGCGATGTATTCATCCAATCGTTAACGGCTTGAAATAGACAATCTGCATTATAAATGTTCTATTTTATCGTTATATGCATAGTTTTGATGTAGATAAAATATAATCTACACTGTGAAATATGTTGTTTTCTTTGTATGGACGGACTACATTTTCACGCGGAAGCATTCAAATGTAGCTTAAGTAGTGAAGAGGTCATTATCATTTGAGGCCCCCGGCAGGATCATTGTAGTTTTTAGCTTTTCTTTAGGATACTTTTTTTTCGAACTAAAGGTGCGAGAAAAAAAAATCAATCACCTGTAACTGAGTAAGCTCAGGTTATCTCAGCCTCGGGCTAAGATTTTGTAAAATCCAAAACCCGGCTTGCACCTCGGTTGGGATTTTGTTACATAATCTTAACCCTCGACTGTGAAAACCTGATCTTGCTCAGTTACAGGTAAGAGATATTATTTATATTGTATACTTATCAGATAATGAGGACAGTACCAGCAACGGTTGGCATCACACAGAAGCAGTATCAAGGCGATGAGACCGTAGAGGTAGGAATGGTTATTCCAGCTTGTCTTATCCAACAGGAACACGTACCAATATGTCACTAGGAACATGACACAACTCAGTCTGTACAGCAGGCCTAGCATGATCCCTATGGCACCTGTATACATAAACAATCACTGTACAGCAGGCCTGGTATGTCCCCACCACACCTGTATACATAAACAATCACTGTACAGCAGGCCTAGCATGATCCCCACCACACCTGTATACATATACAATCACTGTACAGCAGGCCTGGTATGTCCTCACCACACCTGTATACATATACAATCACTGTACAGCAGGCCTGGTATGTCCTCACCACACCTGTATACATATACAATCACTGTACAGCAGGCCTGGTATGTCCTCACCACACCTGTATACATATACAATCACTGTACAGCAGGCCTGGTATGTCCTCACCACACCTGTATACATATACAATCACTGTACAGCAGGCCTGGTATGTCCTCACCACACCTGTATACATATACAATCACTGTACAGCAGGCCTGGTATGTCCTCACCACACCTGTATACATATACAATCACTGTACAGCAGGCCTGGTATGTCCTCACCACACCTGTATACATATACAATCACTGTACAGCAGGCCTGGTATGTCCTCACCACACCTGTATACATATACAATCACTGTACAACAGGCCTGGTATGTCCCCTCCACACCTGTATACATATACAATCACTGTACAGCAGGCCTAGCATGTCCCCCACCACACCTGTATACATATACAATCACTGTACAGCAGGCCTGGTATGTCCCCACCACACCTGTATACATATACAATCACTGTACAGCAGGCCTGGTATGTCCCCACCACACCTGTATACATATACAATCACTGTACAGCAGGCCTGGTATGTCCCCACCACACCTGTATACATATACAATCACTGTACAGCAGGCCTGGTATGTCCCCACCACACCTGTATACATATACAATCACTGTACAGCAGGCCTGGTATGTCCCCACCACACCTGTATACATATACAATCACTGTACAGCAGGCCTGGTATGTCCCCACCACACCTGTATACATATACAATCACTGTACAGCAGGCCTGGTATGTCCCCACCACACCTGTATACATATACAATCACTGTACAGCAGGCCTGGTATGTCCCCACCACACCTGTATACATATACAATCACTGTACAGCAGGCCTGGTATGTCCCCACCACACCTGTATATATATACAATCACTGTACAGCAGGCCTAGTGTGATCCCCACCACACCTGTATACATATATAATCACTGTACAACAGGCCTGGTATGTCACCACCCCACCTGTATACATATACAATCACTGTACAACAGGCCTAGCATGATCCCTATCACACCTGTATACATATACAATCACTGTACAGCAGGCCTTGTATACATATACAATCACTGTAGGCCTGGTATGTCTCCACCACACCTGTATACATATTAAATCACTGTACAGCAGGCCTGGCATGTCACCATCACACCTGTATACATAAACAATCACTGTACAGCAGGTATACATATACAATCACTGTCCAGCAGGCCTAGTGTGATCCCCCCCACACCCGTATACATATATAATCACTGTACAGCAGGCCTGGCATGTCACCATCACACCTGTATACATAAACAATCACTGTACAGCCGGCCTGGTATGTCCCCCACCACACCTGTATAAATATACAATCACTGTACAGCAGCCCTGGTATGTCCCCACCACACATGTATATATATTATACATATACAATCACTGTAGGCCTGGTATGTCTCCACCACACCTGTATACATATTAAATCACTGTACAGCAGGCCTGTTATGTCCCCACCACACCTGTACACATAAACAATCACTGTACAACAGACCTGGTATGTCCCCACCACATCTGTATACATATACAATCACTCCTGTATACATATACAATCACTGCACAACAGGCCTAGCATGATCCCTATCACACCTTATACATATACAATCACTGTAGGCCTGGTATGTCTCCACCACACCTGTATACATATTCAATCACTGTACACCAGGCCTGGTATGTCCCCACCCCACCTGTATACATATACAATCATTGTACAACAGGCCTAGCATGATCCCTATCACACCTTATACATATACAATCACTGTACAGCAGACATGGTATGTCCCCACCACACCTATAAACATAAACAATCACTGTACAGCCGGCCTGGTATGTCCCCACCACGCCTGTATACATATCCAATCACTGTACGGCAGGCCTGGTATGTCTCCACCACACCTGTATACATATATACAATCACTGTACTTCAGGCCTGGTATGTCTCCACCACACATGTACAGTAGGCCTGGTATGTCCCCACCACACCTATAAACATAAACAATCACTGTACAGCCGGCCTGGTATGTCCCCACCACACCTATAAACATAAACAATCACTGTACAGCCGGCCTGGTATGTCCCCCACCACACCTGAATACATATACAATCACTGTACATCAGGCCTAGTGTGATCCCCACCACACGTGTATACATATATAATCACTGTACAGCAGGCCTGTTATGTCCCCACCACACCTGTAAACCTAAACAATAACTGTACAACAGGCCTGGTATGTCCCCACCCCACCTGTATAAATATACAATCACTGTACAGCAGACCTGGTATTTCCCCCCCACACCTGTATACATAAACAATCACTGTACAGCAGGCCTAGCATGATCCCTATCACACCTGTATACATATATAATCAATGTACAACAGGCCTGGTATGTCCCCACCCCACCTGTATACATATACAATCCCTGTACAGCAGCCCTGGTATGTCCCCACCACACCTATAAACATAAACAATCACTGTACAGCAGGCCTGGTATAAACAATCACTGTACAACAGACCTGGTATGTCCCCACCAATCACTGTACAGCAGGCCTGGCATGTCACCATCACACCTGTATACATAAACAATCATCACTGTACAGCAGGCCTAGCATGATCCCTATCACACCTTATACATATACAATCACTGTACAGCAGTCCTAGTGTGATCCCCACCACACGTGTATACATATATAATCACTGTACAGCAGGCCTGGTATTTCTAGGCCTGGTATGTCCCCTCCACACCTGTATACATATACAATGTATACATATACAATCACTGCACAACAGGCCTAGCATGATCCCTATCACACCTGTATGCATATACAATCACTGTACAGCAGACATGGTATGTCCCCACCACACCTGTAAACATAAACAATCACTGTACACCAGGCCTGGTATGTCCCCACCCCACCTGTATAAATATACAATCACTGTACAGCAGGCCTGGCATGTCACCACCACACCTGTATACATAAACAATCACTGTAAAGCAGGCCTGGTATGTCCCCACCCCACCTGTAAACATAAACAATCACTGTACAACAGGCCTGGTATGTCTCCACCACACATGTATATATATACAATCACTGTACAGCAGACCTGGTATGTCCCCACCACACCTGTATAAATATAAAATCACTGTACAGCAGGCTGGTATGTCCCCACTACACCTGTAAACATAAATAATCACTGTACAACACGCCTGGTATGTCCCCACTACACCTGTAAACATAAGCAATCACTGTACAACACGCCTGGTATGTCCCCCCCACACCTGTAAACATAAGCAATCACTGTACAGCAGGTCTGGTATGTCTCCACAGGCCTGGTATGTCACCACCCCACCTGTATAAATATAAAATCACTGTACAGCAGTCCCGGCATGTCCCCACCCCACCTGTATAAATATAAAATCACTGTACAGCAGGCGTGGTATGTCCCCCACCACGCCTGTATACATAAACAAACACTGTACAGCAGGCGTGGTATGTCCCCCACAACACCTGTATACATAGACAATCACTTGACAGCAGCCCTGGTAGTCAACACAACACATGTATACATAAACAACCACTGTACAACAGGCCCGGTATGTCCCCACCAATCACTGTACAGCGGGCCTGGTATGTCCCCGCCACACCTGTATCCATAAACAATCACTGAACAGCAGACCTGGTATGTACCCACCACACCTGTATGCATATACAATCACTGTAAAGCAGGCCTGGTATGACCCCACCACCCCTGTAAACATAAACAATCACAGTACAGCAGACCTGTTATGCCCCCACCACACCTGCATACATATACAATCACGGTACAGCAGGCCTGGTATAAACAATCACTGTATAGCAGGCCTGGTATGACCCCACCACCCCTGTAAACATAAACAGTCACTGTACAACAGGCATGGTATGTCCCCACCACGCCTGTATACATAAACAACCACTGTACAACAGGCCTAGTATGTCCCCCACCACGCCTGTAAACATAAACAGTCACTGTACAACAGGCCTAGTATGTCCCCACCACATCTGTATACATATACAGGTGTTGTGTGGACTACCAGGCCTGCCGTACAGTGATTGTTTTTGTATACAGGGGTGGTGGGGACATACCGGGCCTGCTGTACAGTTATTGTTTATGTATACAGGTGTGGCGGAGACATACCAGGCCTGCCGTACAGTGATTGTTTGTGTTTACAGGTGTGGTGGGAGACATACCAGGCCTACTGTACATGTGTGGTGGAGACATTCCAGGCCTGTTGTACAGTGGTTGTTTATGTATACATGTGTGGTGGGGACATGTTCAGGAAAGATGTACTACGTTTGTCTGATCCGTGGCGAATTTTTGAATATGTCAAATTGATTGTATATGTATGCAGGTGTGGTGGGGAAATACCAGGCCTGTTGTCCAGTGATTGTTTATGTCTACAGGTGTGGTGGGGAAATACCAGGCCTGTTGTCCAGTGATTGTATATGTTTACAGGTGTGGTGGGGAAATACCAGGCCTGTTGTCCAGTGATTGTATATGAATACAGGCGTGGTGGGGACATACCACACCTGTATACGTAAACAATCACTGTACAACCGGCCTGGTATGTCCCCACCACACCTGTATACATATACAATCAATTTGAACATATTCAAAAATTCACCACGGATCAGACAAACGTAGTACATCTTTACTGAACCATAGTAGAACGTAATATTCCGTTGTAGTCTGTAATAAACCGTAATTATCAGTACTTATTCGTAGTATATCCCAGACCTCGAGTCGCCAATGATCGGTAAGGTCAGTTACGGTGAACTGTGTACTTGTGCTTACCCGTACTAAAAGTTGTGGAATGAACAGGCGAGCGCAGGAAACAATGAAGCTAGCAGGAAAAACATCACAATATGCATACAAAGTTTTATGGATTAAATGCTTCTGGACGGAGGCACCCATTTGTATGTCTCCTTGCAAACTTGGACGAGGGATAATATTCCATAAATGAATATTTCTTGCGTGGATATTTCCATGTTAATTTACACAAAGTGAAAAACGTGAGAATTTCTACACCACAGAAATTTCCACTTTAACAGTATGTTATCCAAAGTCAAAAGTGACAATAATTACAGTATTTCTAAGGTATAATGTGGGAAAAAAGTATAATTGATATTTTATCACAGATTAGTTTCAAATTTGAAAAAAAAAAAATCTTTGTAAAAGGACTAACTTAGGGTGATACCCAATACCCATTTGATTGTCTTGTTTTTCTCTTAAAAAATACTTTTTATTTTACCCTTCAAATATTACTACAGTTCCCTATATAACACGAACATTTTGGCATTACATCAACTTTAAGAGTAAGGCTATTTTCCATCGATCGTGTACTATTTTTGTGAGTCTGTATTTAGATTATACTTACCCAACAACATGACAAGATAGACCACGTACATCCACACCAGGGGGAGGGGCCGCAGCCAATCAAATAGGGGAAAGTGACAGGTGGACGGGTCGCCCCAGCGAACGTCTGCCACACCCATCCCCCTCTCCTGGGGAATGTCAATCACCATCAGCAGACCTGCCACATAAATAAACAGGTAACCTTAAAGGTAAACAGGAAATGACTACCGCTACAAGTGTTTTAAGATTTTACAGAATGAACCACCATTAATTTGAAGCGTGTATCATTAAAACAGAGATCCTAGAGGGATATCTTGGCATTAACCATCATATCATCTTAATTGATTTGATCAAAGATTAATCTTTTCTATTATATTATCTGTTTGATTTAGTCATTTAAACAGTTAATGCACCATGTGGTTACTTCGATCAAAACTTCATTCCATTGTGTATAATATTGTTCTTTCAATGCGAGACTGTCATTTGACCTATTTACAAAGACAGTAATTGATGTGCAACAAGGGAATCTACATTTGAAACTGAACAAGAGGCCCAATAGGCCTGTATCACACACCTGGTATTTTTCTCACTAACCTCAAAAGTGGCCTCAAGTCAATCAAGTATATATTTGAATTTCAATCAAATGAAGCTTCAGGCCAAATACCATTACCTTTGACTCTTGGTTAATCAGAAGAACCTGTTAAAAGTATCGAACAAATTTGATTGCTTTTACCATGAAAGTAAGTCAAGTCAATTCATTTGAACCAACTTGGTATTCTTTTGATCATCCCAGCATGCTAAGGTCAAATATCACCAGCCATGGTCATTTGATTATTGAGAAGATGTTTGAATATTTGAACACATTTGATCCATGTGGCATTAAGCACTCCGTCATCCCAAGATGTCCTTATACACCAAATCTGGTTACTCCAGGTGAAATAATATAGAAGATACGTCCCAGACAAACTTCTCAGATGGACGGAAGGATGGAGTGCAAACCTATAGTCCCTCCCGGGAACCGGTGGGGGACTAAAGAAGCGACAGGTAAACTATGTTTTTTTTTTCTCCATCTGAGCATGTAACTGTCCAAATATCATATCCTAAGTCTACTGTCTGTTGTTATCTGAAACCTCACTAAATTTTAATGGGAAGCAGGCACCCTTTCTTGAACAAGGGCTTCGAGTGTCCCATGCTGATCTCCCAGCTTCTTGTGACTAGCTTCAGGCATGGTATTGACTAATTAAACCATGAATGAAGTTTGAGTACTGGTTTATTACTCTGTTGGACAGTGTGACCAGGCCGTGTCTGTGTAAATTTTAAGAAATGTAGAGCTATACATAAAAGAGTGAGATTTTAATACCAAGAGAGCGCGAGTGTGACAGTGTGAACACAAGACAAGGATGACTTGAGATCAGGCGACTCAGGGTCAGATTGTGAGAGTTGACAACCAAAATTACCAAGCACTTCAGTAATTTACCTGGCTAGCACATTAACATACTCTACCAAATTATCATTAACTTGAACTTCTTGGGTTGGTTGGTTGTACAGGGTTTAACATCCTATTAACCCCTTCACCACTGTAAACCATAATGGACTCATCCAGACCAATGCATGGTAGAGTCTACTAAAGTTACATAGGGGTGAAAGGGTTAATAGCTAACTTGTGTATGCATCCATGTGTGTATGTATGTATGCCCGCGACAGGGTATATGTGTGTTGTTGTTGTCCTTACCAAACATAAATCGTGTAACTCCTAAACTTGCCGAGTCTGTGGGCCGGCACAAAAGCTTCACTACTGACACAAATGATGTCAGTTCACAAAGATTAAACCCCAAAACTGGGTGATGATTTCCTGGCCCATCATTTCCATTAGACGGGGTAAGGGGGTCTGTCTGCAGCACCGGCTCTCTGAGACCTTTACTGGTCCTCCCCCTGTGTCTCAGACTGTAGCCTCCCGTCATGATTCCTCTACATTTGTGCACTGAAAATCAAACTTCAAAGTATTAGAAGTACAAGAATATCACAGCATAATCAACAGATGATGCAGTGTCCAACCCTTCACAGAAGTGTCCTGAGAAAGATCAGCTTGCCATTCCAAGGGGGAGATAATCTCATGCAGAATAGTGTATGTGCTAATGCCCAATGTATGCATATACAAAAAAGGAAACTTATCGGTGACAGTCAAACAAGGCTCAAATTGGCAACCCTCCTTTGAGAAAGATCCCTAAGGTACTTTCTGAGAAATAGCGACAACAAGAATGACTAAAGGATGGGCTAATATTAACAGACGCATGCTGATCATGTGGGCTGATAAAATTTGAAATCAATGTTATTCCAGTTAGTTGTGCAATATATTTTAAGTATAATCATTTGACGGTCAATTGTTTTTTGAAACAGGTACACTGCTATGTGTGTGGAAATTGTGTGTTAAGTATACTCAGCTCCTTAGTATCATCATGCACCAGTGACTTCACTCCAAGAATAATAAGCTGTGGAACCGATTCGATATTGTAGGCAAATGTGCTTTTGGACTGATAAATTACACAGGTAAGTAGGTACTAGACCAAATATACTATAGAACATGCAACATGTATTTGGAGCGAGTTGTCATCAACAAATTGGTTTTATTTGCACGATTTTCTAACCTATTTTTTACACAGATATGCAAGTGGTCAGTTTCATGTTGTTTTTTACCAGCTGACATCAGTTGTCAAAAGGGTAGTGACATATCCTTATATGGGCATATGTTTGGTCATCCATCTTCTATTTCGAGTTAATGAACCCTCGACTTATGTAACAATGTTGAGTTTCATCAGGTAGCATCACTATGACAGTGTTACCCTTCCATGACGTCGATTATATGCTAAATATGTCCCTGGTGTTTAGAACTCATAGATTTTAGTCAGAAAGCAAGTATAGCAAAATAACAGAAACTAGAACACTGACAGGTCAGTAAGGGCCCCGTCTTGTGGCAATATATCCCCCATAATCATCAAGAAGCAATCTGCCCATATAGCTGAGCTTGACGTTTGACATTTGGACTTCAAAAAGAATCACAAGGAAGCAAAATATACATTTTACATGTACTATGATGTGAGTCTTGTTTCCTTCCACCTCCATATTTGCTGGGCAAACAGAAATGTAAATACTGGTGCAATACTCATTTGTTAGCTTTGATTTGTTTTATTTCACCTTATATACCTCCTACATCAAGAGCCAGGGTCAAAGTCAAAGATCCACTTTGTCTTTGACCTTTGGACCCAAATGACCTTGACCATTGACCTAGTGACCCTGAACTTTGGTCAGTTGACTCATTCTTTAATTCCGACCAACTTTGCTTCTTGATATCATAACAAATTGTTCATCAGTGTAAAATACAAAACTTGACCTTGACCCTTTGGACCCCGTAACCTGGACCTAAGGTCAGTTGACTCTGTGTTAAGTTCTGAACAACATTGCTTCATAATGTCATAACAAAATGTTCATCAGGGAAAAGGTACAAAATTTAACCTTGACATTTGACCCAATGACCTTTACCTTTAGTCAGTTGACTCCTTGTTTAATTCTGATCAACTTTGCTTCATCCTGTCATAACAAAATGTTTATCAGTGAAAAGATGCAAATTTGACCTTGACCTTTGAATCTAATGACCTTGACCTTTGACCTTGATGTTTAACTTCAGTGTGTCTGTTTGTTTAATTCCAAACAACTTTGCTTCATAATGTCATAGCGAAATGTTCACCAGTGAAAAGCTACAAAATTTGACCTTGACCCCTGACCTGATGACCTTGAACTTAGGTCAGTTGACTCCTTGTTTAATTCTGATCAACTTTGCTTCATGATGTCATAACAAAATGTTCATCAGTGAAAAGATGTAAATTTTGACCTTGACCTCTGAACCTTATGACCCTGACCTTTGACCTTGATTTTTTTACCTCAATGTGTATTTTTGTGAACTGAACATCTTGACCAAGTTTCATGTCCATCGGTCGATAAATACCAAAGTTATCAGCCAGGAACAGAATTTGTGGCCGGATGGACGGACGGACGGACGGACGGACGGCCGGACGGACGGACAGACAGACAGACAGACAGACAGAAAGACAGACAGACAGACAGACAGACAGAGTGATTACCATAGGGCACCCGTATCTCCGATACGGGGCCCTAATAAAAGGAAAATTCAAGCGTATCCAAAGTCAGTGAAGTAGAAAATATAGACCACAGCAAGCTTCATATATAGCCTTTGTAGGACTCTTCAAGCTGCTAAATTTAAGAGTAATGAAGATAGCATGTGAATATACTCACCAAAACCTGATGTAGAATACCAAGTCCAAATCTGTGTGTCACCTTACACTACTTGTGGTCTGTCCCCTTACACTACTTGTGGTCTGTCCCCTTACATTACTTGTGGTATTTCCATAGAAATCACAGTCAAGTGCTGTATTGATTGTCGCAGGGTCTCCAGAGTTTTATCACACTTGTATGGTCTCTATCTGTAAATTCAATCATACTGATACCATATCAATACAGTTGATATCTCAATATCATATTGCATTATAAACATAAATTGTGTGAACAACTGTAATATGAGGTCTGTATATATATAAATGTTAAAAGAAGTCTGTATATATAAAGTCTATAAACAATTGTAACATCAAGTCTGTAAACAACAGTAACATCAAGTCTGTAAACAACTGTAACATCAAGTCTGTAAACAACTAACATCAAGTCTGTAAACAACAGTAACATCAAGTCCATATATAACTGTAACATCAAGTCTGTAAACAACTAACATCAAGTCTGTAAACAACTGTAACATCAAGTCTGTAAACAACTGTAACATCAAATCTGTAAACAACTGTAACAAGTCTGTAAACAACTGTAACATCAAGTCTATAAACAACTGTAACATCAAGTCTGTAAACAACTAACATGAAGTCTGTAAACAACAGTAACATCAAGTCTATAAACAACTAACATCAAGTCTGTAAACAACTGTAACATCAATTCTCTAATCAACTGTAACATCAAGTCTGTAAACAACTGTAACATCAAGTCTGTAAACAACTGTAACATCAAGTCTATAAACAACTGTAACATCAAGTCTGTAAACAACTGTAACATCAATTCTCTAAACAACTGTAACATCAAGTCTATAAACAACTGTAACATCAAGTCTGTAAACAACTGTAACATCAAGTCTGTAAACAATTGTAACATCAAGTCTGTAAACAACTATCATCAAGTCTGTAACCAACTGTAACATCAAGTCTGTAAACAACTGTAACATCAAGTCTGTAAACAATTGTAACATCAAGTCTGTAAACAACTAGCATCAAGTCTGTAAACAACTGTAACACTAAGTCTATAAACAACTGTAACATCAAGTCTATAAACAACTGTAACATCAAGTCTGTAAACAACGAACATCAAGTCTGTAAACAACTATAACATCAAGTTTATAAACAACTGTAACATCAAGTCTATAAACAACTGTAACATCAAGTCTATAAACAACTGTTACATCAAGTATATAAACAACTGTAACATCAAGTCTATAAACAACTGTAACATCAAGTCTGTAAACAATTGTAACATCAAGTCTATAAACAACTGTATCCTCATGAACAATTCATGCCAAGAAACTCCTACAAAGTTTATGAAGCATCCGCAGTTTCGTACTCATATCGGCAGAAAACTGTTGAAATTACGGATGACTGTCATAAACATGTATACAATCTTCTAATGGAAACAAAAAATTAGCAACATAAAACTGTATTAAAAAAAACATCAGAACAAACAATTTTTAACAAATTTCTCCCGTCAGAAGTAGCCGTCAAATGTTTCAAAGAAAGATAACTTGAATACACTTAAAAATTCTCTACAGTGACCTGCAAGAACAAAAGCTTCGTTTGGAATAAAAAAAATATATCTTCGATTGTCAAATTAATTATCAAACAATTTTTTTAAAATTTCACATTTTTTTTATTGATTTGTTAATATGTCAACTTGAACGAATTCATGTAATCTTTTAAATTTTATTTATTTAGTTATAATATATTCTGTTATTTTTTTTCTGCAGTCTTAAATCAGTTTTGGTTGATGGTAAGTTATTTCTCATTTTGTTCTGTTTAAAATTGGAAGTTCATTACATTTCAAGGTTTACGTTTCATTTCAAACTGAGTTTATCGATATAAGAATGTCTCCTTCGCTCTTCGGAAGTGGACAAAAATTGGCGAGGAGATGTGGCCTCATTTGCATACAGCTTGATAGAATTAATATATAACGCGTGGAAACATATGACTAGACGATATATATAATAATATTTATCATTTTTGCTTGTGATGTATTTTGTAATTGTGAAATCAGACTAACTGACACAGTGTTGTCTGTTGACAGCTGTGTATAGTACTGTACGTGCAGGTATACTTTCCGTTGAAACTGAAAGGCCGGGATATTGCGCTATTGCGATGGTAGCTATTTTTATCAACAGCTTTCCCAAAATGACCAATTTGACTAAATAGGCCCTTTAAAATATATCACACTGCTTATTCACTTTTTATTTATTTCAAGTCCATGCACTTGCTTACGTTATATTCATAATATCATTTCTCCCTAACCTGAAATTTAAGCCTTCATGATCAGCAAACAGTAAACAGTTCAAATATTAATTTTCAACAAACATGTTAACTCAGCTGAAACTTGCGGATCTAGGCCTACTGTAATATTCCTGTAGGAACTCTATCTAAATCAGAGATGTGTATCCATCGTTATAAATCTCTGATTTATATAGAGTTCCTACAGGAATTAGGCCTACTGTATTTACTATAGATCTATAAAAAGATCTTCACACCTTTTTCATATCACTATATTATTAGATTGATCAAGGTTTGAGGTTTATGCTATTGACTCTATTTAATTGTATTATGTTTTGTTTTCAATAACTAGGTCATACTTACAGCATCTACAAACATATCGTAGGCCCTTGGCAATCCTTAGGCCCTGCTGCAGCACTTCATCGTCCCTGCTGTACACATATGAATGTTGTTTATAATTACAGTAAAGCATTAAATCGGAAGCCTCAGTTTCGTATTTTTTAACCGGAAATGAAGTATGTGAAAGTGAAAGTAGGAGTGGGATGCCACCCAGGTATGATTCCGCGCCTAGTCGGAATTGGCCGAGAAGTTGCGATTGGGATGCCACCAAGTATATACGTCTAGTCAAAAACGTCCCCAGATTTCCAATTTCAATGCACTTTTACAGTTTCTGTAAATAAAGTTGAATTTATATGTCTCTGGTCTGGTTAAAGCGGTATTAACATTATTTTAAAAGGTTAAGCATTATAAAGTAGATGGGGTAAGTGGTGGAGAAAGGGATGTTCCTATGTATTTCATAACTGAAGGAAAATGATCCTACTGCATGTATAACTTACAATTTAGTCATAAAAATGTTTTATCTAGATTTTCTTCACGGATTAACCGATTTCCTCTAAATGTTTTAAAAGTAATTTGATAAAATTGTATTATTTCCCGTACAAATTCACAGACAGGTTATGGACATTTATTAATTGTTTAAGACTGGTTATAAACTTGTATTAACTACAACAAACATATTAGGAACATATATCAATTGTTTCAGGCTGCTTATAAACTTGTATTAACTATAACAAACATATTAGGAACATATATCAATTGTTTCAGGCTGCTTATCACACACATAGGAACATATTTTTTTATTTACTGTTTCAGACTGGTCATACACCTGTATTTATTATCACACTTGACAGACAGGCTATGGATCTTTAATTATATTGCTTCAGATAAAATAGTTTTAACTATCACAGACATTAAGGAACATACTTATGTATTTGTAATTCTATGTTCTATCAATATATTGTCATGTAAGGAACATTAATTCATTGTTTCAATCTGGTTATAAACTTGTATTTACTTGTTCTATCACAGACAAGAAGTAATATTTCATTATTTAATACATATATACAGATAAGTGATATTTCATCATCAGCTGCATGTTCTTTGAAGTCTGAGATATTGATCACTAGATATATTTTGTAGAGATACAATTGTATTTTGTGACCTAAAAGGCATTTCACACAAGCCAGATACATGGTAACAGCATGCACTTTATTACCATTCAAATGTAAGATATCATAGTAAAACAGATATTTTTATAATGAGAAAATAAATAAATGAATAAAACTATTTTCCATTCAACCCCTCCCCCCAAAAACAGCAATAGCAATATATATATAGGAACCTCTCTGTAGTATAGAATATATCATGTGTAATGTGTTGCATGTGTTATATCAGCTGTCTGTGATAGTAAATACATGTTTAATACCTGTCTGTGATAGTAAATACATGTGTAATACCTGTCTGTGATGGTAAATACATGTGTAATACCTGTCTGTAGTAGTAAATACAGGTGAAATACATATATGTGATAGTACATACATATGTAATATCTGTCTGTAGTAGTAATTACTTGTGTAATACCTGTCTGGGATAGTATATACATATGTAATACCTGTCTGTAGTAGTAATTACATATGCAATACCTGTATATGATGGTATACATGTGTAATACCTGTCTGTGAAAACTGATAGAATATATCCTGTGTAATACCTATCTGTGGTAATATATACATGTGTAATACATGTACCTGTCTGTAGTAGTAATTACATGTGCAATACCTGTCTGTGATAGTATATTCATGTGTAATACCACGGACTTAGATAACACTAATCTAATTCCGTGGTAATACATGTCTGTAGTAGTACATGTGTAATACCTGCCTGTAGTAGTATTTATATGTGTAATACCTATCTGTGATAGTATTGTAACGTGCACCGTGGTCGGTACCTATTTGGTCCGTCCCAAGTGCCTCTCGGGATATGCTGTGCAGTTCTGGTAGCTTCGCCTTAGCGCACTTGCTTAGTAGCGCAGAGACTTCCTATATAAATTGGACCCAAGCAAACTTAATCAGACTATAATTAGTATTATTTACAAAGGATTTTAATACGGTAAACCTATGATACAGTTACATACAATAAACAGGGTCGTGCTACTTGTCACGGGACTCACAATTACAATACACATTTAACGTTAACAGGGGCTAGACAAGACCTACAGCGCACCGGCTTATGCAGCGCGGCGCACGGCACTAACATCTAGCACACGACTATTACAAGTGCTCCCGGCACTAGTACAGCGCAGTGACAACCGTGCGCACCGGCTTATCCAGCGCAGCGCACCGGCTCACACAGCGTAATAGCTACACTGTGCACAGGCCTAACATCCGCTAGTCACCCTAACCTACTGCCGCCTCACGACCACTGGTCACTTATTCAGCGACCAACAACCACCACGCTATGAAAGACTTATGCAGTCCTTCCACACAAAGACTTATCCAGCCTTTGTATATACCTTAACGTTGTTGTATCTCGCCGTGTTCTTCTGTCAGCATCAGAATTCTCCCTTAGAATGAGATGAAGCCTCGCTTATATACTGCTAGCTCAAACCATTCTGGGGTAAATCAGGTTATCCCATTTTTTTATGACGTCACTAACTTTCTGGTCTTACGAGCGCTTTCAGCCTATGCCAAAAGCTATGTAAAAACCACAAACGCAACCTAACACTGATTACACATGGTTTATTTACACGATCACGTTAAGCTGACAATACTCCACACGTACACACGTACCTCTCGACAGGACACCGGAAATAAACGCCACTGGTACGTACACACACTCAATAACTTGCATAACTGTTCATTACACTACCCTCCCCTCAAGATTAATGCGTCCTCGCATTATCAGTTCTCGTCACTTGCCTGAGTGACGCAACAAATAAAACACCCCAAGTAAGTCTTCAACGGATGATAAACAATTGTATAGAGTAACAAGAGAAAGAGTTCTACTGCCCGAGTAGAATTAAATGAACACATCACTAGTTTATCAGAAATATTGTCACTCCCACCATTCTTCTTCAGAAATTTCATGCAAGGTTGCAGCTCCCTCTACAGTGGTCTTGACCTTCTTCCTGAAGTGGCGATGCTGCAGACTACCAACATCCGTTTGGGTCTCAGCATTACGCATCCTCTTTCCAGCGCTACTTGCAGTCCCAAGGACAGAGGGTGAGGTAACACTGCCATCCACAGCCTGTACACAAGATGTACGAACTTCCATACTGTTGACTGCAGTCCTTGGCAAGAATCCAAAACTATGGTCTGGCTCAGAGCTGAGGGTCACTACTGCAAAGCCTGTCACTGAGGGAGTTGGACTGGTAGCGTAGTTGTCTCTTGTGTTAACTACCTCGCTGGTGCTTGCTGGCACTGCCTTGGCCATACTGCTCGTCACCGGAGGGCGTCCGAGAGCAAAGACAGGAGGAATCGTCTTCTTTATCCTGGATGGAGCCGGAACTGCCGGTGGCTTAGTTGGCTTCCGGATGGTCCGTCCTAGCTGTGAATTCGCTGGAGCCGGCGAGACCGATGCGGCTGTGGTCACTGCGCCATCACTGAAAACAGAACTCAGCTCCCCTGGGTCTTGCCTCTCCCATTCGCTTTCACTGCTCTCGTGTTGCTCATTCTCGTGACAGCGTCGCTGGTGTCGAGCCAAGTCGGCCTTCTTTGCAGTGGCATAGCTACAGGCACCAAAGTTACATACATAGGCATCCTTCGCCATGCGCTGCCTGCCGCACTGGACAAGGTGACATGACCAGCTTTTCTCGTCTACGAATTTGGCACCACAGAGCGGACATCTGAACGGGTACTTGACCGGGGTCGTCTTTGTATTCACCATCCTGAAAGATACAAAGTGAAAGTACACTTAACCAATGTTTCCATGCCATTACATGTGCAGTTACGGACATAATCTTTCATCCAGCGTGGTGGTTGTCGGCGGCGCCGACTGTGGTCGGTAAGAGGCTCAATTTCTGATTCAACACTACTTGTATCACCTAGATCAGCTTCAACCCCTTCAAAGTCTACAATCCCATCAGTTTGGGATAAAGGCTTATCCTGATCGGTTTCAGCCATACCATCACCAAATACGACAGGCTGATCTCGACTATCAATCTGCTCGCCTCTCAAGTCCTGACTGTATTTCTTGCGAATGCGGTCCACATGAATCACTTGTGGCTTTCCTCTTGGTCCACAATTGACGTTGTAGTTCAAATCCGAGCACTTCCCTAACACTTTGAAAGGTCCCCGCCAGAAACTAGTAAATTTGGGTGATAGCCCTTGCTTCTTCTGAGGAAAGAAAACGTACACCATCTCGCCTTCTTCGAAACTCTGCCAGCTAAGTTTCTGGTCGTGGTACTGCTTTTGTCTAAGCATGGCACAAGCTGACTTCTCTCGAACAAAGGAATGGGCCTCTTCCATTCTTTCTTGCAACTCCCACACCCACTGATGTTGAGGAATGGCTTTGGCGAACCGAGGCATTTCGTACATTAGGTCCAGAGGTGTTGCAACTTCACGACCTAGCATGAGCTTGTTTGGCGTATGCCCCGTCGTTTCGTGCTGGGACGATCGGTAAGCCATCATGACATAAGGTATGTATGTGTCCCAGTCAGAATGGTGTTCATTGACATAAGCGCTAAGCATTGTCGCCAACGTTCTATTGAAGCGCTCGACCATCCCGTCTGACTGGGGGTGGTAGGGCGTTGTTCTGGTCTTGTTAATGTGTAACAGCTGGCACATTTCCCTGAACAGTCTGCCTTCGAACTGCTTCCCCTGGTCAGAATGTATGTACTGTGGCACTCCGAACCGTGCGACAACCTCCTCTACAATAATGGCCGCCACAGTCCGCGCCTCCATGTTAGGCATGGCAAAGCTTTCTGTCCATTTTGTGTAGTAATCGCTGACTACGAGGATATAGCGATTGCCAGAGTCTGTTTCAGGTAGTACCCCAAGTATATCAGTCGCAATTCTTTCCATTGGTGCTCCCGAGTGGACAATTCCCATTGGCGCTCGCTTGGTCTTTGAGGGCCCTTTTCGTTTTGTGCATAGCTCACACCCTGCAACGTAACTTCTGGTGTCAGCCTGTAAGCCTGGCCAATAATACCGTTGCCTAATTTTCGCTAGGGTTTTCCGCAGACCAAGGTGTCCAGCGGTCTTGGAGTCATGACACTGCTGCAATACTCGTCTCCGCTCTGTTCTCGGCACGATACCTTGTAACCAGGTCTTCTTTGTTGACATGTCCTCCCACCGTCGACAAAGTAACCCGTCCTCCACAGCAAGCCTATCCCATTGTGACCAAAGCGACTTGATCGTCCAACTGCCACCTCTGATTTGTTTGTGCGATGGTCGACTCCGTTCCTGCAGCCATTTCTTCACTGTTTGGAGATCGCTATCCGCATCCTGACAATTTCGCAAAGACAATGTACTGTCCTCATTGCCCATTACCCCTGCAAACTGTGTACATTCTTCACCTTTTCCCGCTACATAGTGGACTGAGTCCTTTGCGTTATCCCAGTCGGGATCGAACCCACATTGCTTGCATGGTACTCTACTCAAAGCGTCTGCGTTCTGGTGCTTAGCGCCTGGCCTGTGCTCAATATCCATATCATATGTTCCGAGGATCTCCAACCATCTGGCTAACTGGCCTTCTGGGTTTTTGAAATTGAGAAGCCAGCGCAGTGATCCGTGGTCAGTTCTTACCCGAAACTTTCTTCCGTAAAGGTAATGCCGGAAGAGTTTCACAAACGCCACGATCGCCAGCAGTTCCTTCCTGGTCACACAATACTGGCGTTCTGCCTTGGTCAAGGTGCGACTTGCATATGCTATCACTCTCTCTTGACCATCAAACTCCTGAGAAAGCACTGCGCCTATAGCTCCATTGCTGGCGTCGGTGTCCAGAATAAATGGTTGTGTGAAGTCGGGATGAGCAAGAACAGGAGCACTGACAAGCCTCTGCTTTAATTCGTGAAAAGCTTCATTGCATTCTCTTGTCCAAATAAAGGCTCTTCCCTTCTCTGTCAAGCTGTGTAAGCATTTGGCAATAGCAGAAAACTGATGAATGTACCTCCTGTAGTAGCTACAGAGTCCAAGAAAGGATCTCAGTTCCGTAACATTTGCTGGTATGGGCCATTCACTTACAGCTTTCACCTTGTCTGGATCAGTGGCGATTCCTTCTTCCGACACTACATGACCCAAAAAACTAACACGTTTGGCGAACAGGCGACATTTCTTCGGTTTGAGTTTAAGTCCAGCTTCCTTGAGCCTATTGAAAACAGTTCTAAGGTTAATCAACATGTCCTCAAACGTCCGCCCGACTACAATAACGTCATCGAGGTACACAAGGCAAATCTGCCATTGCACTCCCGCCAAGACCGTTTCCATAAGTCTCTGGAACGTTGCTGGTGCGCAACACAATCCAAACGGCATCAAGCGAAACTGAAACAACCCTCTCCTCGTTGCAAATGCGGTTTTGGGTCTGTCACTTGGCTCTACTTCCACCTGCCAATATCCAGAGCATAAGTCCAAGGTAGAGAACCAGGAATTACCAGACAGTTGATCAAGCGAATCATCGATTCGCGGCAGGGGGTAGGCATCCTTTATCGTCACACTGTTTAATCGTCGGTAGTCGACACAGAAACGGGTTGTCCCGTCTTTCTTCTTCACCAGTACGATTCCTGACGACCAAGGGCTACATGAAGGTTCTATGACCTTTCTGTCTAGCATGTCCTCCACCAGCGTGTCTACTTCCTCGCGCATGTGCACTGGAACGCGCCTAGCAGGTTGCTTAATCGGCCGTGCATCACCAGTATCTATAGTATGTTGTACGATGTCGGTACGGCCAAGATCGTTATTGGAGACTGCAAACAGATCGGTATACTCCTCTAGCAAATGATCGACATCACTGGTCTGTTCCTTGGATAGGTTCCGAATAGACTCATCTCGTAAGCGCTGCAATTCAGCATTGACCTTCAGTTTTCCTCCGTTACAATCGGGAGGTTTCCCATCCAGAACCCTATTTACTTGTGCCAGCTCACCAATCATGGTTCCGCCATACACAACCTGTGCCTCGTCAGAGAGATTTATCATTCTCACTGGTACTATGCATTTGGACTGCACAAGGGTTCTTGCCACCAATCCCCTATCAGATCTGAGGAATCGCTCGGTCGGTTCTACGACACAAAGTCCCTTAGGCAACAAACCCTCTGCTTCCAATACCTTACCAGGACAGATGAACTCTGATCTGGGAGGAATGCTGACGGTCTCCAATGCAGTAACCTTGAAACACCCGAATGGTCCTTGAAACACAAGAGGAGTTTCTTTTGCGCGGATGCTCAGTATTTCCTTGTTGATATCTACCACACCATCGTGAGCCTTCAGGAAATCCAAACCAAGTATACCGTCTATGCTTAGCTCTGCCACTATCATGTCCATGCTAAACATCTGACCATCCAAAGCAAACTCGAACTTCCCTTTTCCTGACAGCACAAGGTCGTTGCCCCCTGCCGCCGCCACTTTATATCTTATGTCTGCCAACTGTGGTCTGCTGTCGCCAGCCAACCGGTCGTAAAGCTTCGCTGACAAGAGGGAGAGGGAAGCTCCAGTATCCACAAGGAGTTTTGCTTCCGTCCCTAGTATTGATGCTTTTACATACATGCCTGCTTCATTGGCAACCGAACTTACTCCTATAGAAGGTTTGGAGCTATTTCGTAGCATCTGTCGGCGTTCCCTGTGTGGCATTAATCGATTGGCCGCTGGTCCATTCCCAGGCGTTTGTCCCCTAGCATCGGCACTTTTCAGTGCGGGACAGTTTCTTTTCATATGCCCTTTTTCCTTGCAATGGTAGCAGGTGATGTCATTTAGAGATCTGCCGTTTGCTCCCTGTTGGCGCCTCTGCCCTCTGCTTTCCTTCAAGTGATCCATATCTGTTCGTAAGGCATCTAGTTTATCTTGCATTGTCTTCATGGCCTTTACCATTTCACCAAAGGCATGTTCTTGTGTTTCCTGATAGTTGCCTGTCGCACTTGCCACCCTCAAATGTCCATGCCCCTCCTTACGCCGCTGCTCAGCTTTATTGAAAGCCTCCAGCTCTACAGCGAGGCGTATTGCATCATTCAAAGAGGCTAGTCGCGACTGTTTTATCCTCATGCGCACCTCAGAGTCAAACAACGCATCGATGAATTGTTCCATGGCCAATGTGTCTTGTAATTGACGCGGAGCCGTTGGGTAAGCCAAACTCGCTAGTCTCCTTATTGCCTGACCCAATTCCGGGAGGGATTCTGTCGCTTTTTGGCGTTTGTCTCTGAGCTGGACCCTATACAGATCTGTTTGACTTGGCGGGGCAAATCTCTCTTCTAAAGAGGCAACCAGCATCGTGTAGTGTTGCATAGCGTCATCTGGTAAATCTCCTAGGACCCCCTGTGCTTGGCCGCGCAGACAAACAGCAAGGTGCATGCCCCTTTCTTCCATACTCCATTTATTTATCCGCGCACATGTATCAAAATGTGACTTAAAATCTTTCCATGAGCCAGAGCCGTCATACGTTGCTGGTTTAACACGAACTCCATGTCTATCTGTAGAGTTTGCCCCACCAGTCTTGATAACATCTCTGGGTTCTTGGCCTGGTGTTGGTGATGGAAGATACCTCCTTCTGGACCTCCTCTGCGTTATATG